CTACGGGCGATGCGGGAAGCCATGATGCACTGCTGTTTCTTGGTGGAGTGGTGAGTTCAATTATGGACTTAGGTTGGTCTCGCATTTCACGCGAAAAGACACGCACAAGAAAGTTTGATTGGCTCGTGGACTGGGGCATAGACAAGCGGACCAATCAGATCACCTCACATCATATCGGACACTTTGTGCAGGTTCTATAACGTCACTTCGAGTCTAAAGCCCAGCGTTATGGCACCACCGGAGTATAATCCTGTTGGAGGCCTCGCTTTTGCTACTTGTGTGTCGAGCCCCAATGTGCGACGAGGTGCTTAGCCGACTGGTATATAACTTTGCTACGTTGGGGTATCTGGTGCGATGGAATGGCAGGTGTGTTAGACGCTAGCCTACACCTGTTAGCCGCCACATTATCGCCTGACCTTTCGCCTACTTCTGACCGCCAGATTTCCCATGAGATCTCGATGGGGCTACTACGCTTAGCCGACCATGGCTCCATCCCTTGGACATGGCCACTGAGCTGCGTAGGTGCTAAAACAAACTTGAGCTATATTCAGACACAAATCCGTGCAGGCGCATGCCCAATAAATTCAAACTTAGTCTACTGTCCTATGGAGCTGGAAACCTAGAGGTTGCGCGTCTTGAACGCTTGATATGCGGTCTCGCGAGTGATCGGGTTCAGCTTGAGCGTGGCCGCGGTGATACGGTGGGACCGGAACGCAGCGCCGTCTTCCGACGAGCGCAAGTCAATGTGGGACCGCTTCTCCTTGCTGAAGGCCACGTCCGGGCTCGCCGTCAAGTACCGCACGCCTTCGAAGGTGGCCATGGAGCCCGCAAACACCATGATGCCAATGATGGGGTACGTCGCAGGGTCGGAGAACCAAGTTTGGGCGGCGCTACGGGCGATGCGGGAAGCCATGATGCACTGCTGTTTCTTGGTGGAGTGGTGAGTTCAATTATGGACTTAGGTTGGTCTCGCATTTCACGCGAAAAGACACGCACAAGAAAGTTTGATTGGCTCGTGGACTGGGGCATAGACAAGCGGACCAATCAGATCACCTCACATCATATCGGACACTTTGTGCAGGTTCTATAACGTCACTTCGAGTCTAAAGCCCAGCGTTATGGCACCACCGGAGTATAATCCTGTTGGAGGCCTCGCTTTTGCTACTTGTGTGTCGAGCCCCAATGTGCGACGAGGTGCTTAGCCGACTGGTATATAACTTTGCTACGTTGGGGTATCTGGTGCGATGGAATGGCAGGTGTGTTAGACGCTAGCCTACACCTGTTAGGCGCCACATTATCGCCTGACCTTTCGCCTACTTCTGACCGCCAGATTTCCCATGAGATCTCGATGGGGCTACTACGCTTAGCCGACCATGGCTCCATCCCTTGGACATGGCCACTGAGCTGCGTAGGTGCTAAAACAAACTTGAGCTATATTCAGACACAAATCCGTGCAGGCGCATGCCCAATAAATTCAAACTTAGTCTACTGTCCTATGGAGCTGGAAACCTAGAGGTTGCGCGTCTTGAACGCTTGATATGCGGTCTCGCGAGTGATCGGGTTCAGCTTGAGCGTGGCCGCGGTGATACGGTGGGACCGGAACGCAGCGCCGTCTTCCGACGAGCGCAAGTCAATGTGGGACCGCTTCTCCTTGCTGAAGGCCACGTCCGGGCTCGCCGTCAAGTACCGCACGCCTTCGAAGGTGGCCATGGAGCCCGCAAACACCATGATGCCAATGATGGGGTACGTCGCAGGGTCGGAGAACCAAGTTTGGGCGGCGCTACGGGCGATGCGGGAAGCCATGATGCACTGCTGTTTCTTGGTGGAGTGGTGAGTTCAATTATGGACTTAGGTTGGTCTCGCATTTCACGCGAAAAGACACGCACAAGAAAGTTTGATTGGCTCGTGGACTGGGGCATAGACAAGCGGACCAATCAGATCACCTCACATCATATCGGACACTTTGTGCAGGTTCTATAACGTCACTTCGAGTCTAAAGCCCAGCGTTATGGCACCACCGGAGTATAATCCTGTTGGAGGCCTCGCTTTTGCTACTTGTGTGTCGAGCCCCAATGTGCGACGAGGTGCTTAGCCGACTGGTATATAACTTTGCTACGTTGGGGTATCTGGTGCGATGGAATGGCAGGTGTGTTAGACGCTAGCCTACACCTGTTAGGCGCCACATTATCGCCTGACCTTTCGCCTACTTCTGACCGCCAGATTTCCCATGAGATCTCGATGGGGCTACTACGCTTAGCCGGCCATGGTTCCATTCCCTGGACGTATCCACGAAGCTGTGTAGGTGCTGGAAAATTCGCTACACGTAGAGCAACCTGTGGGATTTACAGTATCGAGTGAGATTTATGCGGATAATGTACGGATAACAGCGAGATTTATTGGAGTCCGAGGGATAAATCTCATATTCCCCACCGATCAGATCTATAATCCGATTTGCAGTTAAACACTCAGGCCGCGGCACTCTGACTACATGTAGCTGCTATGAGTGCGGCATCAAATGAATCCCACATGACGACTATCACATCACATTCAATCAAACGTTACAGTAGAAATCTATCACGTCGAAGTGCATGCCACAGTTCAACGCCGCATGTTATCTCACTCATCACTACATAAAAAAGGGGGCAAACCCTTGAGCTTATCGATTATCACAGCATACCATGAGCCAACTGTGACGTGGACTCTGATATAACCACCTACGTGGTGCTCACTAATTATTTTACCCTGCTGATGCCGCCATCATCGCCCTCACAATCGGGGCGACTTGGTTGTCGCTGCGATGTTGAGGGCAGTGGCGAAGGTACCAGCACAGTGGACACATGGCCATATCGATGTATGGCTGTAACAGTCGTGGCGTTCAGACGTCCAGTGAAGCATCGACAGTGTTTATTGTACATGTGCACAGTTCCCTGTGACGCCGCCGTTGCATCACGTGGTCGTTACTTGGGTTTCCACTTTTCGGCGCATCCGAATAAATGACTTTGGGTCACGGCCATGCATCAGTGAAGCAGACTACGGTGACATCACGAATTACATCCATACGGAGTGGCCTAGAAGTCTAACTAAAGAAGAGCGTTTGGATATTCTCCGTCTTCATGCTCATCTTCGTCGCGACAATGCTCGACAAGTCTCAGGAACCATTGCTCATCTTCTCGGACGCAGCGAAAGAACAGTGCAAGAAGTTTGGTCAACCTATATTCGCGCCAAAGCTGTTGTTGCTGTCCTTCCACCCTCAAACACACAACAACGTCTAACTCGCATACCTGGCACGCATGCAGTTTCAGCGATGATGTGACAATATATACGCCAACGCAGCCTGACACGTGTCCGCACTGTCGCCAAGGACGTTATGTAGCAGGAGTAATCCAGTGCAACACCCAGGACCGCGGAAGCTCAGCAAGTTGCCTCAGAATTGTCCAAATCTACTTGGAGAAGCTCGGCTTCAAACGCGGCAAGCGTCGTGACAAAGCCACGTACAGTGTCTCTAGTGCATATGCTGCTGCCCAGGACATTTACGTACAAAAGATGAACAATCTCGACGCGAACACACCGGTGGTATATATGGACGAAAGTTACATTCACCATCACTACACGCGCCACCAAGACAGCCTATTCGACCCCACGGACGACGCTCCTCTCAAGGAGAAACAAAAAGGTCGCCGCATGTATTTCATTGCAGGCATTATGGCTGGTAGGGCAAGTGGGGCAGATTCGACGGTCGTCGCGCTAGACATATTCGAGGGTGGGAAAAAGTCCAAAGACGATCCAAAGGACTACCATACAATGTTTAATCACACGTACTTCCTGAAGTGGCTGGAGCGCGCAATGGACTGTGTCGAGGCGCTAGGATAGACAGGAGTCGTGTTTGTCATGGACAATACAAAGTACCACAAAGGACTTCCCGATGACACGCCGCTGGGCTCGTGGCGAAAGGTCGATTTGTTGGCGGCCTGCCAACTCTACAGGGTTGACGTGGAAGCTCGTGATTTGATAATACGATATGGAGCCGACTCAAACTTGAGGTGGCTGCTCGCGTCCTCCCGGTCGTTGTTTCCATGGCTCGTGCTCGAGGCCACGATGTTGTCTTTACCCCGCCCCACCATTCGGACCTACAACTTATCGAAATGGTGTGGGCCAAAGTAAAGGGTGACGTCGGCGTGCAGTATACCGTGGACACTACCTTTGCCGATGTGCGTCCTCGCTTGGACGTGGCATTTGCACAGTTCCACCTGTCGTCAGATGGAATTGTATTCAACACTGTGAGAAGCTTGTTGCAGACCTGTACGACTTGCTTCTTGCGAACGACGGTGAAGATGAAGGATCGATCAACCACCACAAGTTCATCATCGGACACCAGTGACAGTGACTCCGACTTGTAAACATAATACCTCTGAAGATACATATTTATTACTTGTTTTTTATGCGACCATGAACTGAAAAAACGATGACAATCTTCCTCTCAAATGCAGTATTTATATTTTAACCTATTCATTATTCCCTCGATGCCTTCGACCACTGTTAATTGCCCAACGAAGTCCATGGCCCCAAGGCCAACGACAACAAAGCGCTTCCGTTGGCGTCAAGTCGGGGCTTACACACAACGGCACGTTGCCTCTTACAACATGCTACTGTAGTAGTACTTACTACTACCGTAGTACGCCCTAACACGTCGTTCAGTGGTGGTCACGAGACGACAAGGCTATTGTGGTGCTACTGCAGTACTTCCACATGATCCAGCTGTCTCGAAGCTCTACGGCTCAGTAGTTTGGATCTTGTGTGAAGGTGCTGCCATGTGATCAACGATGCATTGGTGACTCTACCGCGTCGACATTACACGTTGAGCTCAATAAAATGGTAATTTTATGTATATTATGTGATGGAACTTCATTTTACTATACCAAATATTGCTTTGGATTATTAATTTTGATATTACTATGAATCCGGATAGCATAAATCTGATGGATAAATCGAGGCGAAAAAGTCCTATTATAGAACTTTTTGGGGTCAGATTTATGTTTGGATCTTTCAAATATAAATCTGACCCCTATAAAACCTGCCGGTGGGAGCAATAAGTCCGAGGTGGTCCTATCTAAGGGTTATCCGTATAAATCTGAGCTATAACTCCGACCGGTGGAGTTGCTCTTATGGGGTCAAATTCGAACTATTTGAAAAGCACGTCGAAGTCTAGCGGTAATACCTACTTACAACGAGGACGGCGTTGGATGACACCAAACATAAATAATCACATACGTTCTAGTAGTACATTTAAATACAAATGTCTGAAACCTGATTAGGATATGGATGAATCCAATTTTGCCTGGATGACTTCAAATATTCCTGGATGACTTTCACAATCTGGAGTAATACTACGTACTAGTGTTACTAGTAGTACCAGTAAGCTTACGTAGTCGGAATTAGTACTTCAGTACTATTTACATTAATATTAATAGTATTGAAATTTCACTCACTTACATAGTGTACACTGTACTACCAATGGATGCAAGTTAATACAGGAATATGCTATGAACGAGTTGAGTACTAGTGGTGCATTAGCGTTAGGAATTCTACCAGTGCCGTACAAGGTATGCTGATGCGCTATTGTACAACTGCATCGTACACCCAAGGAGAAACACCACCACCGTTGCCCCGCTACACGCATAACGAAAATGTGCGAATTATGATCGATGTGTAGAAACGTACTGTTCATTTTTAGCTGCGCGGTAGATGACCCACCCGACGCCTACTGCCGGCGCCGCCGCACCACATACTATGACCCCGCTAATACAATGTGTGATGAGCTAATTAATTCACAAAAAATGCTAGAAAATATAGTACGAACCTCCTTCATATAACGCAGCCCCACGAACCGTCCACAACCTCGCTGGCGCTACCCTGCTTTTACAACATACCACATTCAACCGCCACCAGTACGCATATTACAAAAGAGAAGAAATTCAATGCGATACATAGAAAAACGTACCTCGTTCGACGTGCAGAACACAACCCACCAGCCACCCGACGCCTACTGCCGGCGCCGCCGCACCACATACTATGACCGCCGCTAATACATTGTGTGGTGAGCTAATTAATTCACAAAAAATTCTAGAATATATAGTACGAACCTCCTTCATATAACGCAGCCCCTCGAGTCGACGGTGCAACGATTAGACCACTGCTACAGCACTGACGCACCAAAGTCATGAACACATGTAGTCAAACATATCCAAACCTTGTTGTCCATGTGCACACCGTCAGACCTTTGCATCTTGTCGTGCTGAACTTGCTAGTTGGAATATTGTGCCCCCACCGCCCTACAAATTCGTCCACTTGGCCGTTGCAGTGCTCTTGAAGACAGCGAAGCGCTGGTCGCACTGACTGGAAAACAAATGCTCGGAAGCCGTTACTGTATTCTGCAGTGGCGGTTGCTGCTGAAACATCATGAATTTGTTGAAATAGTATGAGTTTTGCGGCTGTGGTGGTCAACGTCACCACACGACGACGTTCGGTGGGTAAATCATAGTCGCCGACGCTTGAAAGGGCGGCCATCGCCGCTCGCCGCGGAATTCTTGTTTTCGTACTGCTCGGCTACTGCAATATGCATAATATCATCACTGTAATTGGTACATGATGTGTTACCGTTTGCAGATGTGTCCATCGAAAATGATTCGGACTCTAGGTCGTTCGAGGTTGACTGTGGCGTTGGCACGTTAGGATCGATATCCAAATCGCAGGGGGGGTGAATGGCGGTTGTGGAAGAGTGATATTGTCTAAGTAGCTGGACCAAACGCCGACCGTCGCCC